CCTGGCCGAGGCGTCGGCGCACCTGGCTGGCCGCCGGCATCGGGAGGGAGACCCTGGCCCAAAACCGCCCGCCCCGCCATCGCCCCCACCCGCACCCCGTGGCACCCCGTCCTGCCCGGGCATCACCGGGCGAGAAAAAGAGGGAGGAGCCGGCGGCCGCACGCCCAGGGACCCTAGAGCGGCAGCGGTTGGAAGCAGGTCTGTCCGGGGCAGGTCTCGGTCCCCTCACCTGGAGGCGCCCCGGACGCGGAGCAGGACAGCCGGCCGGAGTCTCGCCGAGTCCGGGCCGCACGGCCCCGTCCAGCCCTGCCCGCCTCTCCGCCGGGGAGCGCGTCCGGACTTCGGACGCAGAGGTGGGCGCCCGGTGTGTCCAGACTCGGGCCCCGGGAGGCAAAACTACCTTGGCCAGGTGGGGGCGGGCCCAGGGCCGGGCCGGGCAGGAGGAAGCCCGGGAGCACTGGGCGGAGACTCGCGGACCGATTGTTTGTGCCTTTCCTAGCCTGGCAGCAGGTGCCGGGGAGAGGCGGGAAAGGCGGTGCGACACCGACCTCGGAAACCCAGATTACCTGAGAGGGCGGAGCTAAGGGAGGTAGGAGAGGCCACGCCCACTTCCCCTCCCCACCCCCGCCCTCTTAGCAAAAACACAACCAAGCTTCCCCGGTTCATTGGCCAGTGTCTGGGGTCCAGGTCCCACCCCCTAGGGCAAAGGGCACGGCAGAGCCAGCCAGAAGGGTGTCTTCACCCAGGCCAGGCCCTGGACTTCCAACCAGCTTGGCCTCCCAGACTGCGCTCTGGTCCCTCAGAGCCTCGGGCGGTCAGCCTTGGAGTGAGCCAAGTCCGGGGGGGTCAGCCTTCTGAAACCTGGGGGGTAAGCCTGGGTCCCATGAGGGGAGGGGCCACTGTCCTCCGTGGACAGGCCTGGCCAGGCGCCCCGGGACTCCCCACAGAGCGATCACTAGCCTCTCAAGTTCAGCCTTGGGCACGGAGGGCAGGGGAGAGGCAACCGCTGCCTTCCGACTGATGGGGTGCCTGCTGAGTAAACTGTCCGCTGGGGTGCTAGGATGTCTGCCTCAGTCTCAGCTTTCACCAAACTGGGGTTTCCTTGAACCACCTCTAGGAAGGGACAAAGCAAAACTGTGGGGGATGGGGACAAGGTCACCTGGGTCATGGAGTAGCTTAAGCAGAGAAGGAGTGAAGAATTTAGTCCCTCGTGCATTCCTGTTTGTGACGTGCCACCCCTCTGCTAGGGGCTGGGACCCAAACAAACAAACAAAACGACTACGCCCTGCCATTCAGTGGATTTTTTTTTAAATCAATTTATTGGGGGATTCAGTGGATTTCGACTCACAGCAACCCAACGTATGGGACGGGGAAGAAACCCTGGGGTTTCTGAGACTGTAACTCTTTGCAGGAGTAGAGCGCCCTTGTCTGTTTGCTAGTCAGGGAGACACACAGATAAACAATGGCGGGTGACCGCTGTGCTGGGAGAGTGACTGACACCGGGAATTAGGGAAGAAAAATTCCACTTCCCTGGAAGTGACCATTGACCCAAAGGGAAGCTCGGTGCCGGCAGGGCACCTTCCAGGATGAAGGAACAAGCCACAGCCTTAGGAGGAGGGCGGCAGAGGCGGAGAAGGGAGGGAGATGAGGCCACAGAAGGGAGGTAGGACAGGCAGGTGTAGAGAAAGCCTGGAAGGTGTGGGCAAAAGGTGAGGGCTTTGGATGATCTCAACTGTGTGTCTCCAAGTACGGCCTATGACCACCAGCCACCAAATCTAGGCTTGTGTCCCAAAATCAGGTCTCTGAGCCCCTCCCCACCTTCTGAATGTAGCCCTCTAGAACCCCAACCCAGGAATGTCTGGTATTGACAAGCCCTCCGGTGGCTAGTTTGCAAACCAGGTTGGAAAGCCATCCATCCTGTCTGTCCAGACTGACTGGCGGGAGAGGTGGGCAGAGGCCAAGCCCTCAGGGCCTACCTGAGCTTGAGGGAGGACCAGGGGAGCCTCTGATTTCCATTTTGGAAAGATTTCTCTAAATGCTGAAGGATGGG